ATTCTGTTGGCTAGGATTTTGTTGAGAATTTTTTCATCTATGTTCATGAGGGATATTGGTCTATAATTTTCTTTCTTAATGACGTCCTTCCCTGGTTTTGGAATGAGGATTATAAAATGTGTTAGGAAGTTTTTCATCCTCCTCTATATTCTGGAATGATTTGAGTAGAAATGGTGATAGCCCTTTCCTGAATATTTGGTAGAACTCACCAGTGAAGCCATTTGGGCCTGGACTTCTTTTGGTTGGGAGTTTTTTGATGACTTGATCAATTTCTTCTTTTGTTATGGGTCTGTTCAGGTTTTCTACTTCACTGTGTGTAAATTTAGGTAGGTCTTGTTTTTCTAAAAATGTATCCATCTCTTCTAAGTTTTCAAATTTGTTGGAGTACAACTCTTCATTATTCTGTTATTATCCTTTTGATTTCCTTTGTTCTAATAGTACCTTCGTGTTTCAAGGATTGCCCATAAAAGCACTGCTGCTTTAGAGTTGCCTCTGGAAATAAGGGTGGAGTTGGGTTTAGGGTTGACTGAGGCGGGACTGTGGTTAACATTAAAATTTGGGTTAGAGCTGCCCGTGGAGTCAGGCCATGTATCATAGTCTCTCTCCAGGGGAACCTGCGTCTTTATGGGTCTCTGAGACTGTACATGCTAGGGTGTGTCTGCCTGGTTTGTTCTTCCCTTGATGTTTCTATCTGCTGTGTTCAAGGGGCTGGAGGCCAGGAAACTGAAGGAATGGTTGCTGTTGTTGTTGGGTGTCAGTGAGTCGGTACTGACTCATAGCAATCTTATGCAGAAAGAAGGAAACACTGCCGGATTCTGTGCCAATCTCACAATTGTTGCCATGCTTGAGCTTGTTACTGCTGCCACTGTGCCAATCCATCTCACCAGGAATCTTCTTCTTTTTCACTGATGCTCCACTTTACCAAGCATGTTGTCTTTCTCCAGAGACTAGTCCTTCCTGATAATATGTCTAAAGTATATGACACATGAAGTCTGGCCATCCTGGCTTGTAAGAAGCATTCTGGCTATACTTCTCCCAGCACAGATTAGTTTTTTCTTTTGGTAGTCCATGGTACTTTCAATATTCTCTTCTAACACCATAACTCAAATACAGCAATTCTTCTGTGGTCTTCCTTGTCCAACTTTCACATGCATATGAGGTCATTGAAAAAGCCATAGCCTGCTTCAGGTGCAACTTAGTTCTCAAATTGACATCTTTGCTTTTGAACACTTTAAAGAGGTCTTGCACAGAAAAACTTGCAGTCTGGACTTCTTCCTTCAGTATCATTGGCTCTTGATCATATGCTACCTCTTGAAATGGTTGAACATGCACCACTTCTTTTTGGTACAGTGACTTTGTGCATTCCTTCCATCTTTTTTTTAATGCTATCTGCATCATTCAATATTTTGCCCATTTTTTTTTGTTGTTAAGTGCTGTCCAGTCAGTTCCAACTCATAGCAACCCTGTATAGGTTTTCTGAGGAGCGGCTGGTAGGTTTGACTGCCACCTTTGGGTTTAAGTCGACCTTGTGGTCTAGTGCTTATCCTATAGCTCCACATCTGGCTCCATTTTTCCCGTAGAATCATTCAATCCTGCAAGTCGAGGATTGAATTTTTCCTCAGCTCCCTCAGCTTGAGAAATGTTAAGCATGATTTTCCCTTTTGGTTTTCTAACTCCAGATCTTTACACATTTCATTGTAATATTTGACTTTGTCTTCTTGAACTGCCCTTTGAAATTTTCTATTTAGCTTTTTTTCCTCCTCATATATTCCATTTGTTTTAGCATCTTGACACTGGAGAGCAAGTTTCAGAGTCTCTTCTGACATCTATTTTGGTCTTTTCCTTCTTTTCTTGTATTCTTAATGACCTTTTGCTTTCTTCCTGTATGATGTTCTTGATGTCATCCCACAACTCTTCTGGTCTTGAGTCATTAATGTCTAATTCATCTAATCTGTTCTTGAGATGATCTCTAAATTTAAGTGGAATGTGTTCAAGGTCACATTTTAGCTCCCGTGGACTTGTTTAAATTTTTTTTAGCTTCAGCCTGAGCTTGCATATGAGCAATTTATGGTGTGTTTCACAGTCTGCCCCTGGCTTTCCAATGTGTCTTTCCACAGAAGTAGTCAATTTGATTTCTGTGTGTTCCATCTGGCCCATGTGTATAGCCGTCTTTTATGTTCTTTAAAAAAGGTATTTGCAATGAAGAAGTAATTGGTCTTGCAAAATTCTATCATGCAACCTCCAGTCATATTTTGCAATTATTGATCCTTCCTTTTGTTTCCAACCTTTGCATTCCAATCATCAGTACTTATCAATACATCTTGATTGTATGTTTGATCAATTTCAGACTGATAATGTTGGTAGAATTCTTTAATTTCATCATCACTGGCTTTTGTGGTTGGTGTTTAAATTTGAATATAGTTGTTTTAACTAGTCTTCCTTGTTATTGTTATTAGGTGCCATTGAGTCA